CTTATGATACATGTTGGTGTTTTGGGTTTGCTCACCCTGGCCTTACCCGAGAGCTGGGTTTGTTTATCCTATTGTTTAGGGGTTTGTTCCCTACCGTCCCTTCTCGTGATACATGTTAGCATGTTTCGCTGGTAGTTTAGGTGTGTTTTTTGCCGCCCTACCCGACACATCAACTGAATTTTCTTGGGAGAGACTTAAATGCTGGGTTCCCATTATTTTGGAAGCTTCAAACGATCTTTACAAATTCGTATTACTTGATGTTGGAGAAAGTTTTAAATGCCATTTTGAGGGCCGAGACATCGTTTGTTTGTTCTTTTCCTCTTTCAGATGGATTGGTCCCTCATCTCTCTCACCCCATTTTACTTCTTTTTTTGTTTTTTCGCTCGTTGGTTTGATTTGTGCTGCTTATACCTAGGTATAAGTGTGCTTAGTATAGGGATATAGGTGCCATCGAGCATGATGTAAGTTGGATGATACGGGGTTGAAATGGGCGATGATGAAAGTGCTTATGTGCGCTAAAAGTGGGAATTAAAAGTGTCTCCTACTTTAATGATTCTCAATGAAGGGATAGCAGAACCGACAATACTATTCACCAGCTCTTGGTGGGAGGATGTCCTTGATTTTCTTAGGTTGTCGTTTGCCCCGATCGAGTGATAAAATGGCGGACCACTTGATCTTTAAAATATTTATATATATGACACGGACAAAAATATATTTTATCGTGAAATTATTACTTTCAACTGCTGAATAAACCCTATATGCATGAAGAATTAAAGAAACTTGAATCAGATGCTACGAGAGTCCATCCTTTAATCTCCATGATTGCGGCAAGGAATTGCTCTCTTTAGATTTTTTGGCTGGTGACATCTATCCAAAGTTGGATTATAAAGCACATAGCCCAGCTTTGAGCCCACCCCAACCTGAATTCTTATAAGTTTTTTTTCGAGTTTTCCATGCGTCACCTACGGTTTTCCTCGAATTTTCACGAGTTACTTACGGGTTTCTTCGAGTTTTCTTGCGTCACCTACGTTCTTTTTTCTTTGAGTTTCCATGTGTGACCTTGCTACTTTTTTTAACACACAAACACGTGTTTGCTCTGCTTTTTAAATCCTTTGCTATAATCGTTTACTTTTATATGCAATACTAATTGCTGTAGCGACATGGATTCCCAGGTATGCATGTTTATTTTATTTTCGTTATTGCACTCTCAAGTGCTTTTTCTTTATTTCACCTTCTACTGTTTATTCTCTTTAGTGCACTCTTTATAGCATTCCTTTACTGCGCCTTTATTATTCTTTTATGCCCGCACTTGCTTATAAAACTTGCAAGACCTTTAGGGTGACGAACAGTAGTCTGGTTTAGGTGGAACATTGCGACAGACCGCCGACCAAACAATTGCATGTACACCTTAAACTGTGAACCCTAAACCTGTAATCGGTGCGATGAGGAGCCTGGAGCAAATTCTATGGGCTGTATGATCAAGACCCTACAGTGCAATGGAGTGACTTCAGCAAACTTTCTTTATTCTTAAATAACAACAAGCCATAGAATTTCGAGGTTGTTTGTCTAGCACGACGTAAATCATCAATCTATCTTTATACTCCTATACAATCATGTTGTGCAGCATAAGTTCTAACTCTCTTTAGGCTCTAAGGTTGTCGTTCGGTACGACGTAAACCCTCCTATCTTTCTAGGCGATTTGCATGATCAATATCATGTAAATGTAAGTCATAAATAATAAAATTAACAGAATTAAAACATCTAATAACAATCACTTCCAAAACATAAAGCCTCGAGATTTGTGGCATCCCCTACTCTTTACTTCTTTGGACTCATGAAAATAACTGTTTCTATTCAAACCATTCCCACTTGACTTTTCCATGTTCAACCTTGAAAACTGAACTTTGAAAACTTGAAGACAGAAACACTTATCTTAATCTGAGTTTTCTTAAGTGACTTCAGTCATTTAAGAGGTAATTAACTACTGGGGCTTTCTTCATTAGGAAACTTAGAACCTAGGTAAAATAAACTCTTTCTAATATTTATATTAGATAGGGGATGTGTCAGTCACATAAAAGTTCGCAGACTCTAATGAATGTTATAAACTTCTTAGTTTAAATAATTAAGCTTATTAAGAAGTGGTACATTCATCTTTTGACATATTATATCACTTGTGATTTTGTGCTCAACTATCTAAACTATTAAACATATGAGATTTATTTGGTCTCACTTTTTAAAATTAAAATGTTATTTTTCAAAATCAAAATTATATATATATATTAAATTAAATTATTTTCAAAAGCAATCGGTAGGTTCCGACTTAGTGATCAAAAGTCTCTCATTATGATTGTAGAATTGATTTGATAGAAATGCTTGTAGGTTGATCATAGTTTATATTTGACTCTGTTACAGTACATTGTTTTTTAAAAATTGATTTTCTTAATTTTGAACGAGCCTTAAAGCATTCAGAGAAATTATGCCAAATTTTTTTGCAGGGTGAGCTATTGGATGGAATGTCTTCAAATTTCACTTTTTACCAATATCATAAGTAGAGGAGCTAATCGACACTCCTTTTTTTAAGTGAAACATAACGTCTAGCTTAACTAGTACTAGGGCCACCAGAATCTTGAGAAATGAGCGGTAGCATCATTAACTTAGTTGAAATAATGTAGCTGAAGTCAAGGGAATGATATTCATAATAGAGTAATTATTAGTTCCTCTGAAGAGTCGAAATAGGGTGACCGTTTTGGCATGTGCGTTGCAAAGCCATTGATATAGTAAGTTCATTGAGAAAAAGGCCTATAGTAGTCAACTAAGTGTTAGTTTAGAGGCTGGATTCGGCCGGGAGGTATCGGAACAAACGTAGGCTGGAGGAATGTCATGTTGAGAGGACTAGCTGGTGGTTTATGCTATTGGTTGGGCGATGTGACTTTGCCTGAACGTGGGCAAAAAGTGATCAACGTTAGTGAGGTCGGGCAAAGCGCTATAGAATGAATATATGGGTTTTTGTCTTCATTGATTTTTCTATGGTTTCTCAAAATCTTATGCGAATCATATTCAAGTTTTAGGGGGTAGAAATTTTGCTTTAATACTATATCATCTAGGTTTTGGGACACATAAGGCTTAGGATAGCTCCAAGATATCAAGGCCATGCCTTTATGTGGAGTTTTTAGATTTCTATGGGTGATGTTTTTTCTACAAAGGAATTATGGATGAATATGTAAGAGGTATACAATGATGTGGATTAGCATATCAAACCTAATTAGGATTTCCACCCTTATGCATGTATCTTCCAGGGAGTATAGAGAAGTTGGTTTCTTTGAACTATTTATTTTCACAATGTCCAGGGTTTTATGTGGACCAAATTTGCAGAACTAGTAAACGCTAAAATTGTGAATTTGTAAAATCAAATCAGGAAATACAACCTTAAATCACTTAATTTTGATAACAAACAAATAAGGCATGCTAAAAAATATTGAAAGGGGACAAGAAGAGTTTTCTGGATATCGTAAATAAGAGAATAATTTTCATGTGTATGGATACTAGGAGAAAGATCATTCTATTGTTTCAAGCTTGTAATTAGCATCTCCAAGACTTCATATTTATTGAAAATAGGAGCCATGCCAAATCTAAAACAACTCTAAAGAAGTTTCAAACTAATCACACTTGTTTTAGGATGACTTAGTACTCTAATAATCATTTTATAGAAACGCAATTATAATATTCAAATGAATCCTCTTTCATGATGGAACCTTCCAAGCCTTGTTCACACTTGAAGTTCAATCATTGATCCTATTAGCTTCTCTCTTTTTCAGAAATTTCTTGAAGCCTCTAGAAGATTTTCCAGGCCTTAATAAAGTTTGTCGGTCCAGAATTTTGATAATTAATGAAAAATTCTAAACCCTAATTTAATTCATTGTTCTTGTTGGATAGCCTCTTGTATCAATGACACAATATTTTGATTTTGAAAGGTCATGAAGATTTGTGTTTTAAGAAGTGAGAAGTCTTTCTGCTAAATCATAAACTCTTGTGCATGCTCCTGGGCTACCTGCAAAAACATAGATTTTTGGTGATGTTGCTTCCTTTTTTTGTTCGCATTAGACAATCTTTTTTGTTTCGATTTTCTTTAAATCTCATTGGCCTATTTAATTACTTTTTCTTATTTATACAAATGTCATATTTATGCAATCATGCTATTAACTTGTTATATGATGTTGTACCTCATTTCTGACATTCCAATTTCGATTTGTGGAATCAAAAATGATTTTTATTAAATGCTCTTTTGGCATAGCTAGGCTTAAAGGAAAATTTTATAAGGTGGTTGTGAGACCTGCAATGTTTTATGGCGTAGAATGTGGCCTATAACGAAGCATAATACCAATTTAAGTGCTGCTGGGATGAGAATGCTTAAGTGGATGAGTGACTTTACACTTAAGAGGAAAAAAGAAAAACTTATATATTCGTGAAAGGAATGGTATAGCTCTAGTGACAGATAAGATTAGAGAGAGTCGTCTTAGAATGTTTGGTTATATTAAACGTCGACCATCTGATGATCCAATTAGGATAGTAGATATTTAGATTCTGACTTATGTTAAGAAAGGTAGGGGTGGACCTAAAAATACTTGGGTATGTTGCATAACAATGATCTGAATTTATTAGAATTAAATTAAAAAATGACACTCAATAAGGCACAATAGAGAAAAACGATTTGTTTAGCTGAGCCTAGTTTGTGGGATAAAGGCTTGCTGTTGTCGCTCTTCAATATAGCTTAATTGTGCATGCCTAATGTTTTTATTTATTTATTTATTATTATTATTTTTTTTTTTGAAATAGACAACTGAGTCGTTTGTCTAAATTCATGTATATTTAATATTCTCTTTATTTATTTGTAAGTTCTCCACGAGTTCAGAATTGTGTTTCCCTTGTCAAATCATTCTTCACCGAGGCAGTTATTTTTATTTTTGTATGATATAATTTGTTCATCCGGTAATGGATTTCAGGCGATGGACAGCAATGGAGATTTGAAGCTAAAGACACACAGAGAAAGTTGTGATAATGGTTTAAGTGTAGACAAGGTAAATTTACATCTCATTCACTTGAATCGTATATGGATGCTGGATATGCTTATTTGTGATATCGGAATGTAGAGCCTGTTGCAAGCAAATTTTGTTCAGAACGCAACCTTTACAAAATGCTTCCAATATATTTCACAAACAAATTAAGGCAGAGCAATTATTACATTGTTAATGCTTTTTATTTGTTAGCATTTTATACAACTCAAAAATAATCAGAATTTGACTGGAGTTTTATGTTAGTGGTCAATGGTTAGTTTTACTGTTTTGTTCATTATTTTCATTGATCTCATGCCAAATTCAAAATATAATCAAACTAGATGGCATATAAATGCAAAATGAAAGATATTGTCAGATAAGCTTATAACCCAGTGCAAATTTAGTTATGCTTGTTCATAAATTGATCGGATTTGCATGCTCGGATCTTTTCAAAATGTAAACACTAATGGCAGGGTACTGATAATATTAAGCGAAACAAGGTTGTGATTGTTAAGTATTTTCATTACATTAACATCCTTTCTGTGATATTTATACTAAATTGTTCTCGAACTCACATAAAGCGCACATGGTGAAAAAAGAAGTTTATAGAAGATAAAATAAGTTGTTAATAAAATGCTCAAAAGATCACCTGGCAGGATTTTAGTAAATAGCTGGTTTGCAAGGCTCACTTTTGTTAATGTTTGTTTTGTCCTCCATAAATATATTATTCTAATGACTTAATCACTCTAATTAATTTTACTTCTGAATTTTTTATTTTTTCCTTGCATTTATGAGAACAGGCATGAAGCAATGTTATTCAGAGGATTCTTTTTTAAACAGACAACTTAAATCCTTTTTATCCATTTGCTAAAAAAGTCATGACCAGTTGGAACGTATTTTATCCTAAAACCCCTTATGCTTTGTGCAACACCAATGCTCTTGAAATTTAAATTGCAGAAATTCTGACCATTATCCATATAACCTTTCACTAAGGTTTTGTTTGATTAAGCTTTTCCTTTTGTAGAAGTTTGTTAAAAACTATTTTAACAAAAACAGTTTTTTAAAGTTAAATATGAATAACATCCCGAAATAATGAAAAAGGAGTTAATGACTTTTTTTTTCCTAATGGAAAGCATTTTGAAAGTTCAACCAAACAAGGCTTAAGTCTATTCGTTTATAACATATATATATACATATATATATT